TGAACAAAATAATTTGTTTTGATATTTTAGAAACTAAAATATGTTTATTAACTCTTTCCGGCGCAGTGCTGCCAGTTAGGTAATACTTAATTCACAAATGTTACGTACCACTAGGAAAAAAATATTTGCGTTTAAGCGTTCCCCAATATTTAGCAACCACTATTTTTTAAGTAACAAGGAGAAAAAGCATGCCTTTTTAATAAGAATGCACTGCACTGTTTGCAGTTGCTAATGTTTTTGTCTGACTAAAATGTGCAACAGAAATTTACTGTTCTACAAAATATAAATATTGCATACCTGCCAACTTTTAATCCCTTCCATTATAATTTTTCCCAGTGGTAATAAAATGGAATTAAAACTTCAATTTTTAGTTAACAAATACGTTGCATTTGAAAAATCTTAAGTTGACAACCATGATAGTAACGCATATTAATATATGTGTTTCATTTTTGTAAGAATAGTGGTGATCAAAATCATTTAAAAATTAAGTTTATAAAAGAAAAAATAGTATATATTTACTACCACTTTAAATATCAAAATAAAATCTTCCGGAAAATTCGGAAGAGTTGGCAGGTATGAAATTACTACCACTGAGAAAATCTTTCTTAAACTATCGCAAACTTGGCGGCTAGGATTGAGTTATAAGCATACATTGTTTATGTGTAAACTATATTTAAATATATATATATATTTTAAAAAAAATCAGTATGTATAAAAGCAATAAGACAAAGTAAAATAAGTTATTAACATTTTATGCATTCTTTTCTTTGTACAGGAGTAATTGCAGCTAATAAATATATAGAAAGATCATATCTTACATTTCTGACGTACAATTCTTTGTCAAAGGCCAGCTCTCTTTCACAAACAAATGCAAGATTATCAGTTCTTTTACAGTTTTATGATGGTTCATAGTTCGATATTTATTTATATTATTCAGATAATATAGTACTTGGTACAGTATTCTTTTAACAGTACTGTTGATTTTGCTAAATGATTTAATTTCATTGTTGCAGTTTCCTTTTGATAGCAAGGCAGACTTTACTCGATGATTTACTTTCATCGATGCAGTTTACTTTCAATAGAAATATTGATTTTGAAGAGATTTTATTCTATTATAGAAGGTTTGAGATATTTCAAAAATTTGTTTTGGTAAATGTATTGGCTATTTGATAAACCAAGTACTAGTTTTTGAAATATTCAGCAAATCGCTTCAAGCTTCTTAGATTTTTTTTAATTCATAAGTGGTGGTAATGGTGTTAAGAAAGAAACATATTTATAACGATGTGAAAATTTTAGTTAAAAACTTCATGATTCGTTTAATCAAGTATGCTGTATAATACACATTTTTATTTACATAAACTCGATAAAAAGAGCTTTTGTAAATATTATTGATTTCTTCTCAATAATTATGGCATAAAAAAATGGAAAATGATTTGTGAACAATAAATAGTTGTTATCAAAATTATGAAGGCTATATAATGCAAAAGAATCTAAATAAAAGATATTTTTCATTGTATTATTTTTTTTTAGTACTTTTTCAAAATTTCGTAAATTAACTTTATAAAGTTGTATGCTAGATTCCTTAACTTTAAAAAGTAATCAGCAGCGAAAATTCTAGTATTGCTTTTATTAATAATAAAGAGTCATGGATGTTAACACAGTACTCATTCATTGTTATTTATGTGCTAGTTGCCTACTATTAAGGCTTTTGCGTTGTATTTTCATCAACCGTCGTGAGATAATAATAATTATGATAAATATAGTCAGCAATACGACCGTTTTTATTGGGAGCTTTTTCTAACGATACAACGTGGCTGAAAAATGCTTGCTATGTTATGTTTTTATGTGAAATGATGTTATGAAAAATGCTATGCTTTTATGTTTTTTCTTAATTAACCCTTTGCACATCGATGATACGCCATCAACAGACACCACTCTAAAATCAAAAATTTTTATAACTTAATAATTAGTGAGCACATTATTTTTTGAATTTTAAAATGTATGAAACAAACTGTGTTCAATATCAACTTGCTCCGCTTTGAAAAAAGAAATATTTTCCTGTGGTAACGAAATTAAAGTTTTCTTTAACTTAGTATTTTTCATTTAGAGTAATTTTTCCTCCACTACTTATCAAGAATTCAAAATATATAAAATTAAATTTGATTGCACTTATGACATTTGTAAAGAGTGGGCGTAATTATCCTTATTCTGTAATTTTTTTTATTTAATACGCTACCAATTTTTTTAAACTTTTCCCTGTATATTACGTATTTTAGATGATTTCGTGATAATGCAGAGATGCCAACTTGCTCCGGTCAGCAAATATATATTTTAAAGTGGTAGTTTATCAATTGTGATTCTTGGTTTAATAAATTCAATTAGGTAGATTTTTATCCACCACTATTTCTAAAGAGTTCGTAGGCTTATATAACTCACCACTTTACAGTACTTACGTCATGCTATACCTTTTATAAAGCAAGAAAAAATAGTCAAATATATGCTAATTTACTTTGTAGATATTTACCGTTTTCTTGATTATTTTGGCTTGTCCGGAGCAGTTGGCATCTCTGCCAACAATATTTATTAATGTTCAACAAACATTATTAATGTTTGCTTAAATTGCATTTTAAAGTACTTGAAGTGTAAAAAAGCGCGATTAAAAATGTTTTTGGTTCCACATATTTAATTGCGATGAATGTATTCATCTTTATATCAAATGCGGAATTATAAAACGAAAACGTAACGATAAGAATATGCTACATAGTTGCCAACTTCTTCCATTTTGTATGGGAGGTTCTTACTATATAGCTATATACTGAAAGTGGTAAAAGAGTTTATGTTTTACCATTTGTTCCTTTTGATTTAAAACGATCTTTACCGCCTGCAAATATATGCTTTAAATAAGTAAATGTTGTAATATATATCCCAGAGTTTAAGAAGTAATTAATTTGAATATTGGTTTTATCATAGAATATATAAAAACCTAGTTGTTATTTAGCACAACTAATAAACATAAATAATAAATTAAACTGTGGACTTAATTATAATAAGCTAAAACGTATGCTTTTTATATACGATTTGGGGCTTTATGTAATACTATTATGAATGAACAGATAAAGGAAAAAAGTTGTAGTTGAGAACCATACAAATGTGGTAAACATGAAGTTTTGAAAACAATCAATTCATGAAAAATAATTACTCGCGTGGAGAAATATATTTCCAGTAATAATTAAATTACAAAATCTATAATGTGTCTTTTGTGTTTATATTTTTTTTTCAAAGATTTAAAAAATTAACAATAAAGTATGTAAATAAACTTTTAAAAAGCTTTAAATTCGTTATCTAATTATGACTCACAATTCAATTGTAAAATGTTATTCCTGTCTTTGTTAAAAAAATTTTAATTATAGTAACTTACAAAATATGTTAAATATAGATTGTTTATATTTTTGTTGTTAAATGTTAATTTACATAAAAAATTATAATATAAAATTTATATAATAATGAAATTTATATAAAGTTATTTCATTATTGTAAAAATATTACTGTATAAAATTTATATAAATATATAAAATTTATCAGCAAAAAAAACTACAGATTTTAATTATAGTGATTTACAAAGTGTGTTACATATAGATTGTTTATATTTTTGTTGTTAAATGTTAAAGTTATTAAAAATATAAACTATATTTTTCCTAAGCCTTTTCATATTTTGCCAACTCATCAGAAAAATGTTGCCCCTTAAGTCAATACTGTTCTTTTCTATAAATATTATTAAATTGGCCAATAGAAGGTCACATACTGAATTAAATAGGAATGCAGTTGAAATATTGAAATTTCATTTTAAAATATGTACAATTTTGTATTCGAATCAGCTCAATGGTTAAATATTTTATTAATCGTCATTGCTGTCTCCCCTTTCTTTATATTTAATAGATTAGTTCTTATTTTGTAAATAGTAATGCTTCTAATGACCAATTTAAAAAAAATACTTGCACGCAATAAGGTTTAAGTAAAATACCATTTTTCAAAAGATTTTGTCGTACCAAATCTATGTTAAGTGTATGACCTTTAAAATATATTTTCAATATTTCTTCCTTGCCTTAATTAATATAAACATCAATTGTATAATTAAATGTATATGTAAAGCGAGTTATTATAAAGCAATTTTCTTCATAGTTATTGCTGTACAGATTAGCTTTATTAACACTACTATTTTTTTTAAAAAAGCGCATATTTCATAAATTACATTTTATATTCATGAATATCTTACATTTTGAAGAATCTCCCATAAATTGTTTCCAAAAAATACCAGCGTTTTGTATGATGCTTGACTACTATTAAAAGTATTATACAAGCATTCAATGTGACAAAATGCACTAAAAATAGTTCTTAAAAAATTTTTAAAAATAACATTATCGATGATTTCAGATAATTATTGATTGATTTATACGTTGCTGAACCAAAAAGTAGAGATGCTATTTATACTGCAACATTTTATTATTTTTATTTTAGATAAATGCAAAGAAGTTATTTCGATAGTTTTTACAATTTTCTTAAATACATGAATTTGAGCAACATACCTAACAATTTTTTTTCGCAATTCACGGAAAACTTTTATTGTTAATAATTGCAATCTTTATTAACTAGTTAAATGATTTATTATTATTATATTATATTATATTATTATTATCATATTATATTATTATTATATTTTATTATTATTATATTTTATTATTATTATTATATTATATTATATTATTATTATTACATTATATTATATTATAATTAAGGTATTTGCTTTAATAATTTTATTCTTAATTTAATAACGTTGATTTACTCGTAGATGATTTGGCCACAATAATATAACTTGAAATATAATTTAATATTTATCTTTTATTCTCTATTTTTATTATTTATTTATTATTTATATTTATTTACTATATTAATTATTTACTATTTCTATTATATACTATTTGTACTGTAAAATTTTGTTTTTTTATTTTGGATATTTTGGATAATTGCAAAGAAGTTATTTTGATAGTTTTTATAATTTTCTTAAATAAATGACTTTGAGCAACATAGCCGGAAATTTTTTTCGCAATTAACAGAAAACTTTTATTGTTAGAAATTACAGTTGTTATTAATTAGTCATGTGATTCATCATTATTATATTATAATTAAGGAATGTGTTTTAATAATTTTATTCTTAATTTAGCATCGTTGATTTAGATGATTTGCTCATAATAATATAACTGGATAAATAATTTAAACTTAGGTAATCAAAATTCCAACAATTGCTAATAATATTTTAATCACTAGAAAAATTTTAGAAGGAAAGGAAGTACTGTTTAGAATTATCAATTTACTAACTGTTACACGTCCACTAAATATATTTCCCAGAAAGCTCTAAAGTTGGAAGATGTTTGTAGAAAAATGAAATTTGTAAAGCTCATACCATTCGGTCATTAATTATGTGATAATCATCAGCTGTCGTATCTGCCAGTTTTTACGTTATAGCTGAAAAAATTTCGCTATTGGTAGCAAAATTTATACCTGAATATTTGGTTTGCAACTAAATAAATTATTTAAAAAAAAGAAAAATAAGCTAGACCACTACGGCTTATAACTCAATAATAAATATAACTCATAAGCATGTAAGACTTTTAAAAACATTATGTTAAGTGCGTGTTTACCTCTTAAAATAAAATAAGTTATAACATTCAGATAAACATTCTGATTAAATTGAAATACTAATTTCATTTCGTATAATCATAAAAATAAACTTTGCATTTCTTAGTGGAGTATTCCTAGTGGAATTCAAAAATTTAAAGAAATTTCTGCATCAAATGATAATAAAGCCTTCAATATATACAGTTACATTAATTATTTAAAATGATGATCAAAATCAGTTTTATTAGATTAAGAGTGAAATATCTATGCACACCACTTAAATATGAAACTCTCTCGGAAAACTAGGTGAGTTTGCTGCTATATATAATTAAATTTGTCGAAAAATTGCTATTTTATGAAAACTGAATTCAATATCGTAAGACTATTTTTCAAAGGTATTTAAAATGGTAGCAACATCTAAAATAATTCAAATGCGTAAAAGACATGAATAATGTACTCATTTCCGTAAAAAATTCAAGCTATTTGAAAAAAGCATTTTTACCAGTAGTAGTGGAGCAATAGTTAAATTTGTAAAGTTTTGTAGCATTATTTTATTTTCCAATAGCTAGAACACGTTAAACATATCACTGCATGTCAATTGCTTCTCTTATGCATATGTTTAAATATATTAAATGTTATGGCTTATGAAACTATTTCTATTCATATTAAATAAAAGAAATGAATCATAAGTGGTGTTATCATGTTTGCTTCTGCATAAATTGTAAAAATTGGCAGGTGAGTATATTTATGTACTAGAGCAGTTTAAAAAATAGAGGGGTTAAACGGCAGAGTTGGCAACTATGCTAAGCTTATTCTATCTAAATAGTGAAAAATTAAAAATAAAAACCTTGATACATACTTCTTTTTAGCATTCATTTTATAACAACTTCATTATTGTAGTGAATTTTAAGTTCATGAAAATAGCATAGTCGTGTGTTGCTAGCTTATACCAAAACTAATTTATAGTCAAAACTTAGAAATCAAAGAGAGATTACGTAAATTTTAATGCAAACTATCAGATGATCATTTTTTATTTCAGAGTATTTATGATTACAATGATTAATTCTGGATCAAAGATAGTGCATTAAAATTAACTCCTAAAAGTAAATAAATAGGCCTAAATTAAAACATATTATGTCAATTATGCATGTTTTGTTTCATTTAATTTACGAACCACAGGAAAATAAATTAATTTTAATCAATGAAATTACCCTTGAATGCTTATTTAATTAAAATACTGAAACATTCTATGCATATACATTTTTATGTTATGTTAATATAATTAATATAGCAATAGCAACAGTAACATACAGCATGTTATATGATTATTGTAGGCAAATTTGATTTAAGTAATGAAAATAACATGTATACTTTTATATCCTGATCATGTAGTTCAGATAATGAAAATAACATGTATATATTAGATTATGCTGATTTAATTTAGATAACGATACTTATAAAACGCACATTTTATTTTTATATCACGTAATTTAAGAGTAAGATGAGGATATTGCTAAATTTAACTTTGAAATCGGATGTAATAATAAATGAAGGTTGTCTTTAATGTTCACATTACCACCACGTAAGAAAATTGTATTAATTTTAATTCAAACTGAATTTACCTCAAACTTTATCTTGTCATTCTATTCAGTGTTCTAATTTATTATCTGCATCCATCACTCTATTGATAGATTCTTGCCACCGGTGAACTAAAGGACTTTGCATGGGTGTTGAAGAGCAGGGGCTGACTTCTGAAGAATTTGCCCCTCGTCCTGATACAGAATAAGTAAGTAAGGAAGCAGCGGATGACCAGCAGGGCGTTGACCCCACATAAGGTCCAAAAGTGTTTAGTCTCTGTGGTACCCCAACACTCTGTAGCGGCAACGACACTGTCCATTGCATTGCCCTACGTGCTGGTGGGGCAACACCGGGTGCTTGAAAATAATTAGGTGGTAATATGTCCTTAGGGCTTTCTGAGCCCGGTGAATGAGAGAATGCGCCCCTGCGTGGACTTTCACATTCAGTCAATCTAGGTGAGTCTGTTGACGGCGACGGATCGGGAGCCAGGATACTTTCCATGTCAAACTGTCTCTTTTGCCGGGCAATGGTCAGCTTGACCGGATGTGGTGGACTTTGCAACATTTTGTGATGTCGTTGAGGATCCACTAAAGGGGCTGTTACTTCTAGTGGTGGCCTTGGTGGGGGTGTTGGAGCAGGGCTGTCGTCATCATCAGGTACTGACAATCCCATGTGTTTTCTGACTTTACGCTGCGCTTTTCGTCTGCGGAAATCGCCCTTTTTGAAATCTTCAATATTAGCTGGATGAATAGCCCAATAATGTCCCTTACCATTTGCGCTTCGTCCAGCTTTAATAAAACAGTCATTCAGGGATAAATTATGCCGAATGCTGTTTCTCCAGCCAGGACCTCTGTTCCGGAAATACGGGTACTGATCCAGTATATACTGATAGATATCTGATAAAACCATTTTTTTCTCTGGACAGCTGAGAATAGCCATCGCAATGAGACCTATGTAGCTGTGCTGAGGCTTGGGCTCTTCAGTCGCAAATCGGGCGGTTCTGGGATCGAACCTGACAAATGGTGAAAATCCATACTGTCCAGTGTCAGGAAAAGTACCAGCTAAGCCATATGGCAGTCCAAAAGGATGAAATCTTAAACGATTGTAGTCATAGATTTGCAGTCTTTGGAATTCAGCCAGAGCTGCAGCGGGATTGACAGCCGGTGGCGCAAAAGGGTTCTGGTCAGTAGCGGCCAGAACTTTGTTTAGGGCAGCGAACGAGGGATCACTTCGGCACATCATGGGAATACGAGTTTACGATAACACTCGCTCCACGCTTGAGCTGATCCCCCATAGTTGACAGAGTTTCTCTTTTTCGCTAACTCCGCCTACTAGTTTTCTATTGGATGGTCGTAGAACGGCTCTATTGGATGAGAGAAATGATTGGCGGTTGTTTCAAGCCAATAGAATCGACACCGTTAAGCTCCGTGGTCTCTTTTTCCAAAATTAACGTCTCATTAGATCTGGAGCTAGCGGAAGGCCAATTTTCAAGGCGGGTCTCGATTAAGCTTCCTTTGGGATTGAAAAGGTTTTTTTCACCCCTCTAACCCGTGACCCTCAAATGGAGGGAAAAAAATATTCTTTTCTAAGAGCGAGGATAAAAAGGGGAGAGGGGAATAACAATCATCGCTTTTATTGTTGGTTCAACTCAGTTGCTATGGTTGTTGTATCTATCTGTTTTATTGTTAAGCTTTTTTTACTTTTCTAAAGCTAATTGACGCTTTTTGTATTTGTTCACTTGTTTGATTATTTTGTGGTCGCAATTAAAAGGGGAAATCGGGCTAATTAAGATGCAGTCAACTTTTTTTTTTCTTTAAGTTTTTTTTTTTCTTTCTTCATTCTTTTCTTTTTTTTATTTACTTATTTTCAGAGAGGGCATTAATTTTGCAATCAATCTTTTACTTTAATATTTTTTTTAGTGTACTGAGTAATTAAAACTTTTTTATGTTAAAAAGTGACTAGGTGTCTTACCCTTTACTCTTTATTTATTTAGAAAACTTGGACCGACTTTTAATACTCTCTGCAATTATTCATATATTTTGAATCATGAAAACATAAAATAGGTGGGTAACTTCTTTGTTTATTAACTTTTTGTTTATTAGCTTTTTGTTTATTTATTTATTTATTATTAAAAAAAACTGGAAATAAATTTTAATATTCTGTTCTATAATTTAAACACATTTAGTCATAAAAATCCAAACTAGGTGAATAACTCATTTCTTTATTAGTTTTCTGTTGTTTAACAGTTGTTTGTTACTGTTCTGTTATTTAGCATGAAAAACTGGAAATAACTTTTAATGCACTCTGCAATTATTCTTATACAAAGGGATGCCACAAGCGACTGTGTAAAAAGTAGTAGAAACTCAATTCACTTTTAGTTATTTATTATCTCTTTAATTATTCAATCGTACTACCACTATGACTTATATTTCATATCATTCATTCATTAAAAAAAAATAATAATTTTTTTTTACTTAACTTCTCTCATTTATTTATTAATTTTTCGTTGTTTTATTTATTTATTAGGAGAAACTGGAAATAACTTTTAATACTCTCTACAACAATGCGTTGGCATTGAGTCGTGAAAACAGGTGGATAACTCATTTATTTATCAATTTTTCGTTGTTTTATTTATTTATTAAGAAAAACTGGAAATATCTTTTAACACTCTCTGCAACATGCCCATTTCATACCTGCCAACTCTTCCGGATTTTCTGGAAGATTTTATTTTCATATTTAAAGTGGTAGCAATACTCATGTTATTCCAATTAACTTTTTGAATTATAATGATAATTATAAATGAGTTTGACCACCACTACATATAAATAATAACAATAAATATGTGAAAGCATAATAATCCTTGAGCATGCGAATTTCAACGGGATCAAAATATAATTATATTTTTGAGTCAGATTGTTTCTCGTTTATTGTTTTACAACCACTCTGAAAATCCATTCTCGGAAAGAGTGAAAGTTGGCAGGTATGCTATTCATTGAGTCATGAAGACGCAAACTAGATGGGTAAATCATTTGTTTAATAGTTATCTGTTGTTTTATTTATTTATTATGAAGTACTACAAATAACTTACTCACTGCTATAATTTATATGCATCGAGTCACGAAACTCGAACAAGGTGGGTAACTCATTTGTTATAAGTTTTCTGTTGCTTTATTTATTTATTATGAAAACTGGAAATACTTTTTATACTACCTGCAATATTTTTTTATCTTGAGTAATGAACTTTACCTAATTTTTAATTGCTTGCATAAGATGTGATCAATACTAAAATTCACAAAAAAAATTTTTTCACTTTAGAATTGCTTCGAATTCCAATACTTACTAAATTATTTGGAGAAATGGTATAAAATACTAAAGAAACTACTGATAAAATTGTGCTTACGTAACATTTGAACAACTCCATACACGGTTTTATTAAAACTTACAATCGAATTAAATTGCGCTATTTTTCTAGGTAAGAATGTTTCTCGGAATTAAATAACTTTTCTCCGTATATTGATTTTTAAAAGGTAGTCACGTATCTTTGAAATGTTTAATAGTGGTTGAAAATTTTCTTCGAGAAATTGGAATTTGCTTTTTTAAAAACACCACTTTTATCCTTTAGTTACCAAAGTTCCATTTTACCTTTTTTCAAAAATATAACGAATGAATTAATCAATCTATCGGATTTTATATTGAAGTAAATCGAAATGTGTGTCCACAACAAGATATTTATAATTCAAACATTATTATTTCCGCTTGACATCATTATAATACGATTTTTTTAATATTAAAATATAAGTTTGCACTAAAAACATTAAAGTACTTAGATTAATAGTGTATTACCACTGTTTTTTTTACAAAAGCACTTTTCACTTAGTCAGGGAATGAGTCTGTGTTTAAAGAATTGACAGCTTACTCACAAGTGCGACTTATAAAGCTTTGTCAAATTGAAAAGCATGTTCAGGGTTGCAGTGGTTTTCGAACCCGCTACCTCCAAGCCACATAGCGTTTGGTGGAACGGCAAGAAATCTTCCAACAGCATAGAATTCTTTTGCTGAAACATTTCCTTAACCTTTTCGGGACGGGCGAGTCATAAATGCTGTCGTAAGGAATCAGAATCAGGATAATAAAAAATAAAAAGTGGTAGCTTAAGTTCGGACATTGTTAATTTAACAGACTTATTTTTGTTTACACTTTAATTCTAACACATCCAATCCTTGTGTGTGAAAAGTGTAACTGTATAATTTTTAATTCGAACTAAGTAGTGCTGAATTAAATAAAGCAAAATATTATTACCACGCCCTCAAATAAACTACTATAAAAATAGTTTGGCACCCAGTTTTATGCCCTGATTATCGACACCCTGAGAATGCATACATGACTCGCCCGTCTCGAAGGGGTTAAGAAACAATAAGATGCAGAAGTTATCGTAAGTTCATTAACCGACTAGACTCCGTAAACAAAAATATACATTCGTTAGTAGTGAATTAGAATTATATTTTTGTAGTGGTAGATACACTACAGTTATTAATGGGTATGGGTTTCATTAATGGATATAAAAAATTTAACTGCTTTACGCGATTACAATTCTTGTTTATTTCCGTCATTTACAATTAATCTATATTTTTGTTAAGCATGCATGTATAGATGTGTGATTAAGAATCTGTGAGTAATCAAGAAGATGCCCAGATTGAACTCTAGAGTATTATAGACGAATGCCCAAGAGTTCAAAACGAATTATCACATTCTGTGAGATCCAAACATTTCAATGAATTCATATTTTAGACTTTTCACTTTACTATATTTTTCATTTCAATCTTAATCTTTCTATCCGCAAAATAGGAGAGGACGGAAATTAAATAAGAAAGAAATGTTGTATTGTTCTCAAAATGTAATATTCTTCACTTTATGTTATAATAAATAAATCGAATCAAATATTAATTCGATATTAAATATAATATAGAACTTGGAAATGGAATTTATTTTTTGAAAAACTTTTAATTTAGTTATTTAAAAAATTCAATAAAATTTTTTAATTATCGAATATTTTATTTTTATTGTATTGTGCTCATTTTATCTGATCTCTTACTGTCTCTGTTCTTCTTTTTGTCTCATCTCTTTTCTTTCATTTTCCTCTTGTCACTTTCATTTCACAAAAGCAATAACTCGCCAAATGAGAGGGGAAAAAGAAGATGGAAAACTTTATTCATTTCACACCTTAAAATATAAATGTAAATAATTTGATGCAAAAATAACAAGTCTTAAAATAATATCGTTTGCCTCGATCATATTTCATATTTAACAAACTCGCAAAAATATAAATTTTTTAATTTAAGATTTTTATATACTGTAAAATTTATATTTATAATAAAACATCCAGTCTAATTTAAAGAAAAAATATATTTTGCTTTAAATTTTCAGGGTAAGTAAAAATTTACCTATATTCAAATATAATAGCGAGAGAAAAAAATATTACAATAAGATTATTTTAAAGATTTTTCATTACATAACAATTTTATCAGACCGCAAATTATAGAAATCCTAACTAATTATACAAATTTTCAAAACAGAGATTTTGGCTTTACGTTCAAACTCACACAGTAACTGGACGCCGTTAGCCGTTATGATATTCGATCAAAAATAACAGCAACATTTATCACAGCAGAGCAAGGAAAATGCTTCCCAAGGCACAGTATGGAGCAGCGACTGGCAGTCAAAGGAAATCAAACCGTGAAAAACATTTTCACTGTGATTTTTGGAGCAATGAAATTTATCACAGTGAAGTAGCAGTGAAATTTGTCACAGTGAAAGTAGCAGTGATATTTTTTACAGTGACAGTAACAGTGAAATTTGTCACAGTGAAAGTAGCAGTGAAATTTGTCACAATGAAAGTAGAAATGAAATTTGTCACAGTGAAAGTAGCAGTGAAATTTGTCACAGTGAAAGTAACAGTGAAATTTGTCATAGTGAAAGTAGCAGTGATATTTTTCACAGTGACAGTAGCAGTGAAATTTGTTACAGTGAAAATAGCAGTGAAATTTGTCACATTGAAAGGAGCAGTGAAATTTGTCACAGTAAAAGTAGCAGTGAAATTTTTCACAGTGAAAGTAGCAGTGAAATTTGTCACTGTGACAGTAGCAGTGAAATTTGTCACAGTTACAGTAGCAGTGATTTTTTCACTGTGACAACTTTCTGGTTGGATCAGGTTGTTACAGTGACAGAAGCAGTCACAGTGACAGGAGCAGTCACTGTGACAAGTCACTGCTCCGTTACATTCGACCCATCTCTAGAAAGTAGTAATGTAGTGAATGTTCATCAGTATCTATGTGACACCTTTTGTATGGTTTAGATTGAGATATTTTATGTTCATCAGTATCTATGTGACACCTTTTTTATGGTTTAGATTGAGATATTTTATGTTCATCAGTATCTATGTGACATCGAATTTTTATGGCTGAGAATAAGCTATGTTATATTCACGAGCGTCTGTAACACCGATATTTTTAAGGTTGGGGATAAAATATTTTATATTCATCAGTATTTATGTGACACCCCTTTTTATGGTTGAAAATAAGATATNAGTGAAATTTGTCACAGTGAAAGTAGCAGTGAAATTTGTCACAGTGAAAGTAGCAGTGAAATTTGTCACAGTGAAAGTAGCAGTGAAATTTTTCACAGTGACAGTAGCAGTGAAATTTGTCACAGTTACAGTAGCAGTGATTTTTTCACTGTGGCAACTGTCTGGTTGGATCAGGTTATTACAGTGACAGAAGCAGTCACAGTGACAGAAGCAGTCACAGTGACAGAAGCAGTCACAGTGACAGGAGCAGTCACTGTGACAAGTCACTGCTCCGTTACATTCGACCCATCTCTAGAAAGTGGTAATGTAGTGAATGTTCATTAGTATCTATGTGACACCTTTTTTATGGTTTAGATTGAGATATTTTATGTTCATCAGTATCTATGTGACATCGAATTTTTATGGCTGAGGATAAGCTATTTTATATTCACGAGCGTCTGTAACACCGATATTTTTATGGTTGGGGATAAAATATTTTATATTCATCAGTATTTATGTGACACCCCTTTTTATGGTTGAAAATAAGATATTTTATGTTCATCAGTGACACCCATTTTTTACGGTTGAGGATAAGAAATTTTATCGAACAAGATACAAATCTATATCAAAAACGGTGTTTCTCAAGGACATAGTAAACAATGACGGTATTTTTTTTTAAAAAAAACTCTTCCTAAAATATTATCAATCAAATGAAATTCCCCCCCCCCTAAAAAAGATAAGTTTATTTTTCAATTTTATTTTTATCAAACCTCAGACTTCTAAGAGTGAAATATGATGAAATAGAATGAAATCTAGCAACAAAACATCACCTTCCCTGTCATTCAATAAGCACTTCCTATCTTCTGACTGGCTGATATCGTTTGCCAGCAGTTAACAAACAAGAAATTCTATTGGCCCCACAACAAGAGACAGATTTACACACCATCGCTTTTCACCTATTGTCCATCCCTCATGAAGCTTTCTGTTTTCTTGAAGGTGTTTTTTCCCTTCAACGACACCCGATCCGGCTATGAGTCCTTCCTTTAACCGGATTGCGGGAAGAAGGAGCCCCCCCCCAACCCCCAATAATGTCCCCCCCATCTCCATCCACCATAAAACTAATCCACTTGAATACTGCCAGTACTTTTCTTTCTTACCCCACCGTAGTTCGCACTTCAGCTACAAAAGTAAACCAATCAATGTACCTTAAACGTCGTAATAGGCACAGTCTAAATCGTTATTATTACGAAGCTTTACTCTTTGTGTGAATCTCCCCCCTTTTACCTCCTATGGGGGCCTCCATCAAAGGGAATGAGGTGTTTGGGTTTGTCACCCCCTTTAAAACCCCCATAATATTCCCTTTAGCATTCATGGGGTGCCCTTAGAGGGGGTGCCCAAAGAAAACAGATACTCAGCAGCTGAGGAAGGCCACCGTGCAATGGTGGGATTCAACAAAATCGTTATGGTTGATTTTTGCACCCCCCGCTTTTCGGTGGTATTCTTTTGCATTGAATTGTAATTGACTGCGCGCGAATGTAAGCCGATTAGGAGCAATTTTTCTCTTTAATAAATATGTGAGGTTCGCAGTTAAAGAAAAAAACTAGCTCCATCGTGGCAGAATTCTCCATTAAAATGGCGAAATGCATTTTAGATTTCGTAAACGTTCGAAACGTCTCCAGAATAACTAAATGAAGATATTCTACGAAACGTATCTATACATATAATAAAATAATGAATTTGTGTGAGTGTGTAACTGTGCACCGGATTTTTTTTAAAACTAGATTTTCAATTTGGAACCATTTAAAAAATAGTTTTTCCTGTGGTTTAGCGGTTTGTTAACCAATTAACTGTAGATATTTACTGTGCAAATGATGTGATGATAGTTTCATTTCTTCGCTGAAGCAAACTCGATATTCAGGTAAATTGTCCAACTGGTAATTTGTGTAATAATCAAAGATAATAGGTTTCAATTTACAGATGATTTACCAAGAAATATTGTAATCAACTAAAGCTACATAATTTAACCCTTTCACACCAATTGTCACGTATTAGTAGAACGTTCTCAATTAGGGTGAAAAGATAAAACTTGTGGCCCAACTACTATTTCTTTAGCATTTTATTTGTGGGCAGGGAGATAATAGTTTGACTTATTATATTCACCACTACTAATTAGAAATCTAATTAATTATTAGAAATAGTTATTAGTTATAATTAATTATTAGTTCTAATTAGAAATTATATAGTTATACCTCTTACTGTAATTGTTACAGTACCTCAATTCATCGCTGCCAATTACTACCTTCGTCAATAAAAAGTCTTCTTGAGATTAGTATAGCAGTTATTTAATTTGTTTTGCAAGTTAATTTAATACTTATATTATCACACCTAAATTGCAATCTGTATCATTCCGGTTTTTTATATGGATGTTTAAGCTATTTAAATGTAGTGGTAGTTAAAATTATAATAAATAAAATTTATTAAATCAGAAGTTGCGATTCCAACTGCTCAGGATTAGACATAATATTTTAAGAAACGGTAGAGAACTGTAGATTTTTGAGGCGGTTTACGTAAGCCTTTAAGTTATTTAGAAGTAGTGGTGAATAAAAACATATAAATCGAGTTTACTAAACCAAGAATTATACATTAAGACTCTACCACTGGAAAATATTTATCCGCAGTCCGGAGCAAGTTGGCATATCTGCAGGAGTGAAGCACGGTGCAAAAATTTTGCTACCGCATTAAATATAAAAATAAAATATTATTGAAATTCAAAAAAGATGTCTGTTGCATAAGATATGTAATAAGCGTAGCATTGATTAAGATGAAAGTGAAATAAAGCTGAAAAATTAGCCATTTTAGCTACAGCTTCTTTTTTCTTCCCCATTCTGATTCTGTATGAATGCTTTTATACTTACTCGTCCCGAAGAGATTAAAAGTTGTAAAAATGGATGCAATTGTTTTTGTCTCTAACACAGTTTTGCCGACTTTCAACTCTTTTTGGAAAAATTTCTTCTGGTGGTTACTAGGTTTACGCTTCTTTAATTTGTAAATTTGATTTAAAATTATTTTCCACACCGTTTCATGTTAAGAATTCAACCTCATTTTGTTCCAGCACTTTCGTGGTAAGGGTTTTAAAACGCTAGCAAAATTATCTAAAAATTGTGAAAGCTTTAGTTTTAATTGTCTAACACTCTATAAAATATTTTGCAAAATGCGTAGTAGTTGGCAGACCTGCTAAAAATTTCAAGTCGACATATTTTTCATATCAATTCTGCTTTTACTATATCTGCTTCGACTATTTGTGAAAAGCATTTCTGCAGCGCAAGCACAATGTTTACCATCAACAAGTGAGGTCCATTTTCACTTTCTCTATTCAACTCATCTATCTTCGACATCTTCTGCTGACGAATAGTCGGACAATGGACATCCATTAGTCTCAACAATCGTGACCGTAAACACTGCCCACCCCTTTCATTCAGCTGAAGCAGCATGTAAACAGGCAACTGATGAAGACACAAAAGGGTCTACCCCACGTCTTTTCCCTTCGAATGGTTAGATATGTCACCTCTGAAAGTTTCATGCAAACAGAAGCTCCCGTCGAGATAGGGTTCGGCACTGTTTTTTTCCAGATTGTGAATTCCAACTGCCAGTTGTAAATATTATTGTCATGTTCCGACCGAAATAGATTTGTAAATTGAAACTCTATAGCAGGGCTGTCCAACTGCAAAGAGCCCACGGGCCGCAGTTTGAAAAAGTTGAACAATAACCTCTTACCTCTTATACAATAACAATTAATAGTTGAATTATTAATTATAAAACAATGGAACAGAAGGATTATAATACAATTTGCTTATATTTTAATGGGAAAATTGAGGGTGATCAGCCTGAATAAGAAGTTGGCGGGCCGCACAATATGTGCTGGAGGGCCAGATGCGGCCCGCGGGCCGCCAGTTGGACAGCCCTGCTCTATAGGATGGATCCTAAACGATCAGTGCAGATTGTGATTTTGAATGAATCTACTATCGGTTTACTTTGCAAAAATTCTGATAATTATCAGCTGTGGTTTTGTTTTAAATTTTATATGTTTTTTATTCTTCACTAATGTTTATAACACTCACGCCATTGCACTTTCCAGATTGTTGATTTCAAATGCCAGTCTTAACCCTTTCGTGCCGACTGCAGAGATGCCAACTGCTCCGGAAGGGCCATAATACTTTAAAAAACGGTTAGCAACTACATACTAAAATTTCCAAATATTCGACTACGTTTGTTTACTTTTTAAACGGTGTCACGTGACTCAAATGATAGAAAGTGGCGAATTATATATGCTTTTGAACTATTTAGAAATAGTGGTAGATAAAAACCTAATAAATTGAATTTATTAAGCCAAGATTTACACATTAATAAACTACCACCATAAAATATTTATTTGCTGTCCGGAGCAAGTTGGCATCTCTGCGACTGTCACAAATACGTGCCAGCATAAAACCGTATAAATCAGGGTAAAAAGATAAAACTGGTGACCAAAGTAGTTCTTCAGCAGTTTATTTGTGGGCGGGGTAATGATAGTTTGCTTTATTTAATTCACCTCTTAGTTCGAATTAAAAATTGTATAGTTAAACTTTTAACACACGTGGATTAGATGTGTTCGATTTAAAGTGAAAGCAAAAATAAATCTGTAAAATTAGCTATGTCCAAACTTAAACTACCGCTTTTTTTTTTACCATCCTGATACTGATTCCTTACGGATACATTTATGACTTACCCGTCCCGAAAGGATTAAATATTTCTGTCATTCTCTAATATGGATTTGTAAATTGAGACTCCATATTGGCTAATCCGTATATCTAAATGATGCGCGGAAATTGTGACTTTGAATGAATTCTCTAGCACTCACTTTGCCATGCAAAATTCTGTTAATTATCAGCTGTGATTAATTTTTTTAAAACCTTATTTGTTTATAATTTTTTACATATATTCACAATATTTACTCCATTTACATGCAATTTACTCACTTTAAAAAGAATGGAAATGAAGGTCCAGGTACCCAAATGTATGATAATGTGCAACAGATTCAATTTTAAATTTAATACAAAAATGCCAGAAATTGAAAATAATTTTAAAATTAAATTCATTTAATTTTAAAAATTGATGTTAGCGATCTATTTAAAAAAAATTTATCAAATAGATTATGCAATGAACATCAACTAAGATGTTTGGAGGCCTTATTCTGAGACAGTGAAAAACTGGAAAAAGAAAAATCAAAGGAAAAATTTCTGATTAATAAGATTCTCACGATATATAGTAATATTTTTTAAAATACTGTTTCGAAAAAATATTTTTAT